GTTTTCCACCTCGTTTACTTAAGCTCCTTCTGTGCTCCCTGACATGCCGTTTTCCACCTCGTTTACTTAAGCTCCTTCTGTGCTCCTGCTGTGGATTCGTGGCATGAGGGTACCTTGATGAATTCTTTTTCTTCTTTCATATACGTAGATTTTTAATTACTTATTCTGAATCTCATAAGTAGGCTTCTACCTCCCTATTCTAGCTTTTCAAACTGGTTTATTAAACACCAGCTTGGAACCATTGTATAATTACATTTGCACAATGATTTCAACTCAGGCTTGGTACCTCGTGCTTGTCTGCCTCATACGTATTCAGGTCACTTGAATTTCTTGCCCTGGGTGTTGACTCTGCTTCTTTCACTCATGCTTTTTTGCTGCTGTAGATGATATTGACCATTTTAATGCATCTAAATTCCTACTTCTGTTGCATGATTTCCTTGAGCTAAATTATTTCCTTGGAATACAATCTTATGAGTGAACTAAAATCTGGCTTTCAGTGCATGCTACCATATTGTTCTCCTAAGGGATCTGAGAGTAATTGGCTTCACCCCAGGGCAGCCCCACAAGCACAGAGATGCTAATACTTTGGTATTTTTAATTGGGAGTTTTTAAAACATAAGGAGGAACCTTATCTGAATTTTATTGGTTGCAGAAATGGGTCTCGTGAGTAAACGCACACTGTTGAAGCTTCATGCTCTTACAGAATTGCCACATCCATCAGACAGCCTGACGTTTTCCTTCCGCCTCTCACCCAGGTGAAGACAGATGTCGTGAAAGAGGTGGCGGCCACACGGCGGAAACAGCACCTCTCTTCTCTTCAGTATTACTGCGCCCTCAACGCGCTGCAGTACAGGAAGCGTGTAGCCATGATGGAGCCCATGATAGGCTTTGCCCACGGACAGGTACGCCATGCCCTTCCCCTAAGGGCTAAGACCTGAGCCAGCTGGGGAGAACAGCTTGGCATTCCTGCTGAGCTAGCCTTTAAGAGAAACCAAAGCATCATCAGAGAAAGAAACACGAATGCACCACCTCCCTGGAACCTTCCTTAGATTCAGCACATGGAGAGCTTCCTGGTGGGCTGGCTGATCGTTAGCTGGTCTTGTCAGGTTGTACGTGCAGACAGTGATGGCCTCGGTCCCAAGCCTCCCATGGGGAGGGGCTGGTGCGGCCCTTTGCCTCTGAGCGAAGTGAGAGCCAGGCCTGATCTGATGTTCTGAGAAGCAGCTGACTGCTCAGGTTGGTGGAGCTGGGCCTACAGCTCAGGACCCCTTGCACGGTCCCATGCTGCTCTGGGTGGTGAGGGTCACCCTCAGCTGGGCTGTTCTCCTTGCTGAGGTCATGGCTGGCACCTTGGCATCCAGGGCATGGCAAAACACTGCCATGGTTTGCTCAAGTCTCTGTCCAGGATGTATGTGACTTCTTCCCCCAGTTAATGGTCTCCTGAACATCCATCTGTCAGGATGCTCCAGTGGCAGGGCAGGGCCCTGGCCCAGCAGCACCCAGCCTGGCAGGGACAGGCGTGAGTGTCCCCCCCATCCCTGCTGTGCTCTAGCCCCACTTACACGGACTCTAGCACCTCACCCCGCACTCAGGAAACACACCCAGGAATCTTCTCTCAGCTGACGACAACCTGGGAACAGAAAGGGATGTCAGGAAGCAGAATGTTGAGAAGAAAAGAAGTCAGCAACTTTTTAAAACTCCACATGTGTGAGCATCTATTCTTTTTTAACACATGTTAAAAAATACATATATTTCAAAAAACACAGCGTCAGTAGCATTCAGGGGAAAGGGGAACAAGGGAGGATCTTTAGGCATTCAAGCTCAGTGATCCGTCTTCTTAATGTGGTTATGACGTTGAATGACGAGGTAACTCGAGTCACCTGATGCCTTCAGGGGTGATATTTAAGTAGAGCGCTAGAATCTGTCTGTGTCATCTGCATAAAGCTGGGTTGAACCCACAGCTAGCCCTGTCCAGCTGCGGGCTCCGGTCCGTAGCAGACCCCTGGCAGCGTCCAGCTTCCTCATGGTGGGCACTGATACCCGCCTCTCTCCTCCCTTAGTTACTGCACCTCTGCCTGGCGGAGGGCCTGGCCATGCTGGAGATCGTCGGTCCTGCCTTTGCTCTCGTTATAATAACGCTTCCTGTCCCGTCTGCCCTCCCTGGACTGACAGTCCGGGCCTGTGGAGCAGGACTCCCCACTCTTTAGAGGCCCGGGGTCAGAGGGGGGCCTGGACTGAGCCTCAGAAAGATGAGCAGCTGTAGGCTGAGCAGTTAGTGGTTGGGGCACCCGGTTAGTTAGGGAGGGGCCTCACAGGTCTAACGGATGGACTTGTTCCTGGCTGCTTCCACTCTGTTCCACCTGAAGTACCACACTGGCTTCTCTTGGCCTGCGCTTTCTAAGTGGAGGCCGCCCCAGGGAGAGGGGGCCCAGCTGCAGGAGCACCCCCCGCACTCCCGGGCCTGGCGACACGGAGAAGAGCCGCACACTGTCACGTCATCGTTGGGTGGCCGAAGCAGCATTTTCGAGGACTGAGGATGGCATGTTTTACTTTTCATGTGGAAAGTACCCAGATTTTAAGACACAAGACCAAATAGTCCCTCCCCCTGTAGACTTCAAATCCTGCCAAGAACTATAGCTCCTTCACTTACACCAGTTGTCTAAACCCATGAATCTTTTGGATGATTCCAAAGCATTCGCTCTCCGTCTGCCTCATCAGCCCTTTGAAATCAGTGTTGACTAAGCGTCTACCTTTGTTAGCCGATGGCCGTCTGACCACTGTACTTCTGCGGCTCACGAAGGCGTGAGAATCTGGGTCTTTGGATGATGTGGCCCTGAATCAGGCTTCTCGGCACCACCCACTTAAGTGCAAGCTGCTTGACTTCATTTCTGCCTCCCCTGGCCGTTGCTAAACAGGCCCTCGCACTGAAATCACGATTCCGTCGTCATGCCTGAAACAGAGATTTTGCAAGCTGTGTACAGGTTTATGAGATCACAGAAATCAAGTCCAGGGTAGTAGTCACAGGGTAGATCTGATGAAAGGTGGCTGGAGAAGACAGGGTCTCATCCCTCCCTTCCATTCCTTCAGGTCAGTGAGGGATTGCAGGAGCCCCCCCCCCCCCCCCCAGGAACTTGCAGAATAGCAGGGGAGCTAAGACGTGGAATTCGGAGTATAAATTCCAAGGAGTTCAGGGAGGGGAAGGAGAGGAAGGCCACTGGGAGGCTGTGTCCTTAGAAATGCAGAAGGCTCCTTGAACAGACTTTGATATTTGAGGTTTCAGAGATTCAGAATGGCATTTACTGTTTTGAGCTCTGTATGATTAAAAGATCACGGGGCCAGAGCAGCTCCCTGCATGATTACCTTGCATTAGGAGAATCGTGATCATCCTGTTTTTATCCTGTGGAAACTAAGGGCATGGGAGTGCATACTTCCCCAGGATGTGAGCATGACAACACGTGCCAGCCTCATTGGGGTGCGCCGTCGAGTTCTGTGCCCACTGCACAGGGCAGGGGCCGCTTCCAGATCAGACACATGAGCTGGCTTAGAGTGTGAGAAAATACCCACGTCCAAAGCGGAGCATTTTCCCTTTTCTCATGGCTAGGGTTTGCAACTCTTATTAGTTCTCTGTGATCAGGCATGTAAGATGGAGCAGTTCACACCCAGTATTCAGATTTTTTAAAGCCTTGGCCATGGAAAGAAATGGAGACTTGAGCTTTGGGGCCAGATGGTTACAGATGTCAGTAATACACAGAGGTGGCCACTCTTCCCCTTACCCCTGCCCTTCAGGGTTTGTGAGGCAACCCAGACTTCCTGGGAAGTGAATACCCCAGAGTCACAGGAAGTAAGGACTTCCTTCTATCCCTTCCCCAAAAGCCAGCAATTGAAGTTTTATTTTCAAAGGAGACAGAGCCCTCTTAGGGCCACCCTCCCCTGGGCGGAGGGAGCCCACATCCCAGAACGTTGGAGGCTGGAAGGGAGCTCACCAGTCTGAGCACCTTTTCAGGCCCAGAGCTCTGCTGCCTCCACACCCACATTCCCCTCTGGGTTGACGTCAGGGTTGGAAGAGCCCCGTAAGGGACTTTAGCCCAGTTTCCACTGGGTAGTGTTCCAGCCGTATCCTCTGTCCGGCTCGTGTTCCGAGCCACGCACGGCTGGCTGACGGGGGTCACCGCGGCCTTTGGGTTTGCACCTCCTCCTCGTCTGGTTCTGGCCGGCGTTGTGCAGGTCAGGTGTCACACACCGATGGAGCCCCTGTAGACACAAAGGTGGAGACCTACTCCTTGCCCCTCAGAAGCTTTCTATCTAGAATTCACAGAGGAAAAGAGCTGATGACGAGACTATCAGAGATAATTGTCAGTAACTACCGACGCACCTGGTCTGGTATGTGCCAAGCAGTGAACTCACATTATCCCTGATGTTTCCATCCGGCCTGTCAGTAGGAGAGCTCCGTCCCAGCGCCCCCATTCTGCAGCACACTGGGGGCTCTGGGAGGAACTCGCTGGTGTGGGGGGCTCCGCAGGGGCCCACGGAGCGCTGTGAGCACGCGGTGGGGCCGGCCAGCCAGGGTCGCCACTCCCGCACTGTCAGTCCTGCGCTGGATGTGCTCACTGATGACCTTTCCAAGATGACCTTCAGAACATCACCATTCTGTCTTTCAGATTAACTTTTTTAAGAAGGGAGCAGAGATGTTTTCCCAAAATATGAACAGCTTTTTATCCTCAGTTGCGGACATGGTCCAAAGGTAAGGCTGCACTCCACTCTGGGTCCTGGGGGCCTTTGCCTTTCCTGCTGAATCCACCCCTCTGTGGGGGGGGGCGGCCACAGAGCCCCACCACCATGGGAACTCTGGACAGTGGGCCCCTTCTTAGCTGCCGGTATTCAGGAATACTGAAGCTGGAAAGTAATGTCTTCTGGCAACCCCCCTCCCCCAGCCCAGAGGCATGCCCACCACATGAACGGATTACATAGCTTAAAGAAAATATAAAGTGTCTGCAGGGGAACTGTCCCATCAAGTCACAGTTGCTGTGCTGAGGGAGGGCCTCCCTCAGCACTTCTGTGTGCTGACAGCCGGCCTTCACATGCTCTAGCCTGTGAGCCCGGCGTAGGCTCGCTGTGGATTTAGAAGTGGCCTCGCTTCCCCTTTGGAGCCAAGGGGTTCGCAGCCAGAAGTGGTGTGAGTCTTTAGGAAATTGGCTGTCACATCCATTTACGATAGATAACGAGGCTTTATGCCTTTTTTGAATTAAATTAACAAATCGCACTTCAGCCTTGAAAATGCTTATTTTTTAAAAAAATACACCATCCGTTCTTCAGGCTGTCCTGCCATGTTTAGTTGATGCTCGGACACCCTTTGCCTCCACTGCCAGTGTCCATGACAGTGAGCCCAAGGAGGCTTGTTTCATTCACACCACAGATGTGGCTCTGGGAGTACTCCGTGGTTTCTGGAGTGTTGGAGAGAGTAGTTGAGAAGCAGATATACAAAATGGAAGTAGGAGTGTAGGATTTTATTTTGTGTGGAAAAACGGAGGAAGGTTGTTCCTTTGAGAATGTTGCATTTCAAAATACCTTTTTAAAAAAAAGGATTTATGATTTATTTATTTATTTATTTATTTATTTATTTATTTATTTATTCATTCATTCTAGAGTGAGCGAGTAATGCAGGGAGGGGGCAGAGGGAGAGAGTAACGTGAGCAGGCTCCGCACAGAGCACAGAGCCTGACACGGGGCTCAATCTCACAACCCTGAGATCGTGGCCTAAGCCGAAACAAAGAGTCGGACACTTAACTGACTGCACTACCCAGGCGCCCATGCATTTCAAAATACCTGGAGGCCAATAGTGGACTCTGTTGAGGCAGAAGTGTACCTCAGATGCTGAAAATAAAAAATGAATCCCAAGAAAATCCAGAGCTGAGCATTCGTAGGAGCGCGCGGGAGGGCTATGGTTCTGAAGGCATCTGCGCCTTCCTGGAAGTCACAGCTGCTCGTGCCCGGCCGCAGCCGCCGCCGCCCTGGTGGGGCTGGTCTAGGAGGAGGCCGGAGAGCACTCTGAAATCCCATTGCAGTGTCCTGCCATTTCATCTGGTTGTTAGCCACTGGGGGTGTTAGAAGAAAGGAAGGCAAGGCGCCCACTGTCACTTTTCACCTCTCACCGCCTCTGTCTTACCCTGCGTTAGCTCCCAGAATCCCCTGGCTTTCTGTGTTCTGGGAGAATCTTCTGTGCGTCAGAGGTTTTTCCTGCACTAGATTTTGTTATGAACGGATGGTGGGACATTTGCGCTCGTGTTTGAGATGCTGTATCTCTCTGCAGATCTCAGAGCCTCTGTCTACAGCTCAAGCTTCCAGGTGTTCCGCACCTCAGCACACACGCACGCACGTGAGCCAGAGCCTGGCATCGGCCCTCTTACCCTTGGTGCGCAGTGTGGGCAGCCCGTGGCCGGTGGGCCCCTGCGGTCTCGGGCAGTGGTAGGGCTGCCACGAATGGAAGAGCACGGCCTTTGTCTTGTCACCGCACCTTGGTCCCACCTCCTGGTCACTTTCCTGTCTCCAGTGTCCCTTCCCACCTTAGGGGAGCTGGGGCAGGGGCAGGGAGGTGGCAGGAATGACTGCTGTCTCCTTCCTTTCTAGCTCTTCCTCAGGCAGCCTGCCCTGCAGCCCTGAGGATAGGCTCCTCAAAGCTTTTTTCCTAAGATTTGCATCAACATGGGCCGCCTGGTGGCTCAGTCAGTTAAGACTCAACTCTTGACTCTGGCCCCGGTGGTGATTTCAGGGTGGTGCAGCCAAGCCCCACATGGGCTCCACCCACCCCCCCTTTGCATGCACGGTCGCTCGCCCTCCCTCCCTCCCTCCCTCCCTCCCCCCCTCTCTAAAATGGATGAATGAGTCTTTTCAGAAAAATTGCCTCAACAGTTCTAAGCCTGGATCCCACTTTGTTGGCAGAGAATTTGGAGAAATTGTTCTGCTGGGTTCCGGCATTGTCCAGTGGTGTTCCTGCTGTTTTAAAGGAGCACTCCTATGAACGCTTTTAGCAGCGCAGACTTGAGCCCCACGACCCCCAGCTTCTGGGCCCTGAGCTCCCCCTCGTGTGGCAGGAAGCCGTGGGGACAGCTCCGGCATCTGCTGCTCAGCGGTGCTGGGTCGGCCGGCGGCGGGGGGGAGCCGCTGACCCAACACCTTCTGTCTTAAGCATTCAGGTGGAACTAGAAGCTGAAGCCGAGAAGATGCAGGTGTCCCAGCAAGAACTGGTCTCTGTTGATGAGTCTGTTTACACCCCGGACTCTGACGTGGCTGCACCACAGATCAACAGGAACCTCATCCAGAAGGCTGGTTACCTTAATCTTAGAAGGTGAGAATGCTGTTGCTTGCCTCTCTTTATGAAATCTGTTTTCCCTCAGGTGGTTACAGCGCATCCGTTCCGGGGAGGTTGGGGAAGAATTCCCACCATGGGAGCCTCCCGCCGGCCATATGGGAAGCCTCCGGGGCTCAGGGCCCAAGTCACTGAGGGTTGGGCTCGAACCAGTCTTTAAGAACCCAGTACTTGGACTCCAAGGGGTGGACCACCCCTGTCCCTCGTTACCGTGGCCATACGCAAATAGCCTGCTCTTAACCGTCGTCATCCTGGAGTGTAGGGAGTTTCTGTCCCATCCCGCCCTTGGCCCAGGCCCCTGACAGGTGCCTGAGGCCTGCCACTGAGGCCCGGGTCTGAGGGCCAGCAAGCCTCAGGGTCATCCAGGTTCTCACACACACCGAATCACAATGTAACACTCGGGGCTATTTGACTTGAAGGGAGGACAATCCGGCTTCCTTGTGTCCGAGAGCAGATGGAGGCTGTTCGGTGGGGTGAAGACTCTGACTTGGGTCCAGGCACACCTCCTGGCGGGGTTTCATGCATGAGGCTGAGCTGATAATCACACCGACTAAATAAAGTTGTTACAAGGACTGAAGGAGGTCATTTCAGATATTAGCTATTCCCAGTTTGGGGAAATAACTGTAATTATTGAGGCAGGAAGCCTAGTGCCCTGCACATAGTTGCTACTCGATAAACACTGAATCAAGTAAATGTACCTGATAGTTCACAAATGGAGGATCTACAGGGAGGACTCACCAGCTGTTTTCTTACCAAGGTGGAGCTCCTCGAAGCTCAGCTCGTTGAGATCACAAGTTAAATATCTCCCGTCAGTTTGTATGGATGGAAATCCCTACAGGGTTGGTGTTATTTGCCAGTTACTGGATATTCCTCTTGTAAGCAGCCCACAAAACATCCAGTTGGAGCAAAACTCAATGTTGTAAATGCCCGCAGGATTTTGGGTGCTGTGAGCCGAGGGGACCCTGGTGACTTTCCCTGGACTCAGAGCAGTTCAGCTCCACGTCTTAGGGGAATGACCATCTAGGTTTTCAGTTCCTAATGGGGATGGACTAATTCCGTTTCCAGATCCTGGGAGAAGCCAGTGTCTAGCTGCCGTGGAGGACGGGGAGGTGGGGGGGGACATGCTGCCTGCACACCGGAGCTGGCCCTGGGCTGCCACCTTCTAACTTCCAGGTCACTCCAGCTATATTGTGCCTCTTCTGATCCTCTGCATTTGGATTCCTTCTAAAGTAGCTTTGCTTTAATGTAAAGAAACACTATTTCTAAAATGCCACCAATACTGGTCAAGAGGCAGCCAGACCTTGAGGTGCTGCGTGGGCTTCCTCATACTGGTAGGCGTTCTAAAACCACAATTCTTACAGTAAAACAGGGCTGGTCACCACCACCTGGGAGAGGCTTTACTTCTTCACGCAAGGCGGGAACCTCATGTGTCAGCCGCGGGGCGCCGTGGCCGGAGGCCTGATCCAGGACCTGGACAACTGCTCGGTGATGGCGGTGGATTGTGAAGACCGACGATACTGCTTCCAGATCACCACGCCCAACGGGAAATCGTAGGCCACACGGGGTTTATTTGGGAGGAGAGCAAGTCTAGTGACTCCACCCCTGCCAAGGGCCTCCTAGCTCAGCCCTCTGCACTGGCCTCTGTGGGAGAGGCCCCGCTCCAGGTCCTGCTGACCTTTGGGGAGGACGTTTTTATGTACTCTTTAAGCACTCACACAGGACCCTTGTGGGATCCACTCTGCCTTATTTAAGGAGCCTCAGTCCTGGTTTGTCTGCGGTTTTAGAGGGGACATGGCCTTCATGTGCGAGGCAGCCATAGGAGGAGCTGTTTGTCAGGAGAAGGCGGTGGCTGTTCCTGCCTGCTCTGCAGAAGCCTTGTGTTTGTACGGGGGCGGGGCGGGGGGAGAGCCCCCAGACCTGCCTGTGCAGAGCTCTCTGCTCCAGCTGAAACCCGAGATGGACAGTGTACTCGGCCCTGTGCTGTCCCCGAAGACCCCCATGTGCTTCAGGGGCCCAGAAGAGGTCACTTAGGGTCATTCACAGGGATCACTCGCCCTTCAGTTGTGGCTGCTTGCATTTACTTCTGTGTGGGGTTCTGAGCTGAGCTCCTGTGTCGACAGGAGCGTGTTTGGGCAAGTTAGTACAGTGTGGACTGTCTGCTTGGTTGGCAGAGCAGTTTCAGACCTCATCCTTCCTCCTGGGTGACAGGAGCGGACTGGGATCCCAGCCCTGGTTATGTAACTCCTTGGTCTTCCGAGATGTAAAACAGGAGAAGAGCCATGCTCCCCCCTCCCGCCGCTGTGGGGTCCCTGGAAAGGGTGAAGCCCTCCCCAGAGGTAGGGCAGTGTTATTTGCATCTGATTCCCCCTCTCCCCTCCGTGGGAAGGTGTGCGGGGTCTGCTGACTCCTCTGGGCTGGACTCCTGGTGGCCCCAGTCACCCGAGAGGCCAACAGGATGTCCTCAGCCTCAAGCTAGTAGATCTGAGCCCAGCTGCTCACTTTACAGATGAGAAAGCGCAGGCCCAGGGGAAGGAAGTATCTGTCCAGGATCACACAGTGAATGAGCAGTGAGCCGGAATCCCATTTTCTTTCCTTCCTGTCATCCTGCCTTCCTGGCCCTTCCCTTTGGGACCCAGCTGAGTTCAGTGCATGTGGAGTAAACCTCAGTCAGAGGTATGGGAAGCACTGACTTGGATACACTTTATTTCAGGGGAATAATCCTCCAGGCAGAAAGCAGAAAGGAAAATGAAGAGGTAAAGGTTTTGTTCTTTCACTTTTGTCCTAGTCTAGCGGGTGACTGGGAGCCAGCAGATTTGTTAATGTCCTCTCTCCACAGTGGATAAGTGCCATAAACAACATCTCCAGACAGATCTACCTGACTGACAACCCAGAGGTAACTCACCCTGCCTTCCCGGCGTCCCCCACCCTTGCTCAGTCTGAAGGGTGAGCTCCCTCCTGGGACTGAGCCTGTCCTCCCGTGCATTTGTAGGCGGTCGCCATCAAGTTGAATCAGACGGCTCTCCAAGCAGTGACTCCTATTACAAGTTTTGGAAAAAAGCAAGAAAGCTCATGCCCCAGGTAACTAAAAGACAGTGGAAAAGTGGCTTTGTGTGTGCTTAGAGGAGTTAGGAATTTGACGGAAGTTATTTCGTCCTCACACACCACCTCGGGGTGGAGTTCAGACTGTCAGGAGAGGTGGGGTATTCGCCCACAGTCACCCCACCTGTGAGGGGCAGAGCCGGGAGCCACGGCTGCGTGACCCTGGTGCCGTCCTTCCCTTTCCTGCTGGACCACACGCCCTCAGCCCGAGCAGACAGGCCTGGCGTCAAGGGTCTCCTGGTCGGGGCCTCTCACATTTTCTGTCAGCATGAACAAAATTTTGGAGCCAAAACAACTTTTTTCAAATAAGAAACAAAATCACCTTTTCTGCATCTGTGTTACTGCCCAGGCCTTACCTGCATGGGTACAGATACTTTGGCGTGTGTGTTAATTTTTCCTTTTTCACATATATTTTTCATATTTTAACATTTCTCATATTTGTTCCTTTTAGTAACTATACATACTCTTCTGTGACTTATTATTAGCTGTTGAACATTTAGGTGGCCTCCCTTTCCTTTGTTCGCTATTATCACATATAGTGAACATTTTCACGCATTTAGCTTCGCTCTCGTTTTGAACACAGCTTTAGAGTCTATTCCGAGAATCTCACCTTCTGTCTTAGTGGGAGTTTCCATTTGGTTAACTAATAGAGCGCTGTATTATTGGCCACGCCAGAGTTAGTTATGACTGTGTGTGGTATCCATGTTTCAGTGGCATGGTAGAAAAACCCCATTAAATAAATGTTTCACAGATACTATCTCGTGAGTCCAGACAGATGTCATCAGAAAGCTAAGAGTTCAGTTCCCGGGGTCTTGATGCTGTGCGGCGGGGCGCCAGCCCTGGGTGTGCGGGAAGGAGCAGTAGAAGAGAAGGTCAGAAAGTGGCCGTGAGTCCAATGTGAATGGATTGGGGGCCCTGCTTAGGTGCTCTGGGCCGTGGAGCAGAACTGCAGGCTGAGGGGGGTGGCCTGCCACAGCCGGTGTGGAAAGGACACACACACTGGGATCTGGGGCGTGGTGGGGCGGTGGACAGGGCAGGGACGCCCGACAGGCTGCTGCTGGAGTAGCTAAGAACAGGAGAAGCTGAGCTCAGGTAATAAAAATGGGCAAGAGGCAACAGGTGACTCTTGAGTGGTGGGTTTCACAGTTTACACGGGCAGCATGTTCATGAAGGGCAGCGCTATGGAGGGCGCTTCGAGTGGAAGTGGGAATACAGATCAGGCCAGTGGGCTAGGCCGCGAGCCTCGTTGGTGAAGGCGCCGGCCTCCTCTCCGTACAGCTGCGAGCTGGGCACACTGGAGAACGCTGGCCTTAGAATTCCGAGACCTTCCAATGGCTCTGCCTTCAACACAGCCAGCTGGCCTGGCGTGGCTCATCTCTCTAGGCCTCTGTCTCCTTGACTTTGTGACACAAGAAGATGCAAAACTAGGTGACCTCCCCGGTCCCTTTGCAGTTCTAACACTGTCTAGGGTGCCCATGTGTCATGTAACTAGTGTTAGTAATTAAAGGTATGGCTGGTTTTCTAAAAAAAACAATTTGTAGCTCAGATTTAATTACTCAGTTACTGATTTTTCTCCCTGTTATAGAATAAGTAAGTCACACAGAAGAATCCTGAAACAAGAAAGACCTCTAGCCAGGCAGGTGAATCAACACAGAGACTGGAAGGGTGAAGGATGTGGCTACCAGACGGCCCAGAGCTGTGGAGCCTGGGTGGGTGGAGGGGGTGCTCCTGTCTCTCTCAGGGTCAGCTCATTAAGAATAAAGAAATGTTTTGATGACAGAGGAAAGAAGCAGAGAAACTGTTCGTGGGAACAAACTGCCACTCACTTCTAAGCAAATCTCACGGGTGGCCCTCCCCCTGCAGGTAGTGTACCTCCAGTGCTCATTCACTGGTCCAGCTGTTCAGGTATCTGTGTGTGTGTGGAGTATCTGCTCTGTGCCCCAGGCACTGGGCGAGGTGGTAAAGCTAAGTCTTGTCGGTAAATACCAGCAGGAGGTAAATAAATACTCAGTTAAAATGGAGAAAAGCACTCTGGTGTTAAAGACAAAGGCGCTGCCATGGAGAGGCCTGCCCATGGAGATAATACTTAGACTGAGAAGTGAACGATGAGAAGCAGGCACTCATGCAAAAAGCCAGATTCATGCACTCCTGGTAGCAGTTCCGGAGACTAGAAGGCAGGCGAGAGCTTAGTGTGTTTGAAGAACTGAAAGGGGGCCAGTTAACTACCGTGTGGGCCCAGGGGGGTCACGGAGCAGGGTGAGGTTGGGGAGGGAGGGAGGCAGAACAGATTATGAAGGAAGTTATGGTCAGGGACCTGGGGAGTTGTCGAAGGGTGCAGGGAGCTAGATGTGTGCATGTTGGAGAGAGATGATCCACTTTACATGATCGAAGGGCAGCTCTGGCTACAGTGGAGGACACAGAACACAGAGCTGGGCAGTAGATACCGAGTCGGGGGCCTGCGGCAGCAGTCCAGGTGACAATGAGGGAGTCTTAAACCAGGATCGCAGCAGAGACGGAACGTAGATGGCTCAGGGACTTGTTTTGGAGGCAGAATCTGTTGGACTTATGGTGTAGTGAGATGTGAGTGGAAGGAAAGGGACAAATCAAATGACGAGCACAGTCTGGGTTGAGCACCTGGGCAGATGGTGGCACATTCAGAGATGAAAAGGAGTTGGTAGTGGGTATCAAGAGTTGGTTCACATCTGGACAGAAGATTGAGGGGCCCGTGACACATCCCAGGAAGTGTCAAGTGATCAACGGATGATACCCGTCTGGAGCACAGAGGAAATCCCAGGGCTGAGTATATGAATCGGGAGCTCATGGGCACAGGCACGGCAGTGGCAGAGGTCATCGAGGGAGTGAGTGTAGAAGGAGAAGACAGGAGCCTCAGACAAAATCCTGAAGAACTCCAACATTTGTCATAGAAGGGAAGGAACCTACAAAAGCCACCAAGAAACATCAAGGAAAGTGGTGTCAGTAGGAACCAAGAAAGAAGAGTTTTAAGGAGGAGGGCTCAACTCCGTGAGCTGGTTTGACGTGCAGGTGTTTGAAGTAGGACAACGCTCACAAAGCGTGTGTCCATCAGAGTTGGTGACGTGGAGGTCACAGGTGATGCTCCATCATGTCACTCCTGTGTTAGGAGTCTTCTGTGGCTCCCGATGCTGTAGCCTCAAGTGCAGACCTCACCTGATGGGGTCACTGCCCTCCACCCGTGGCCGCCTCCTGTTGTCACTGTGTTCTCTCCCCGTAGACTCTCTGGGGAGCCAGAATCGAGGACGCCCTTTTCTCCCTTTAAGCTTCTGCTCCTACCTTCCTCCAGTGCTCACCACGTACAGGCTCCTGGCCCTCCCTCAGAGACTGGATGGGCGAGCAGATGGGACTCTGCCCTCCTGGACTGAGGCAGTGTGAGGTCGGCAAGAGCCCTGAGCTGGCAGCGAGGAGACCGCCGCCGGCAGCCTGGCTCGCGCACCTGGTCGCCGAGAGCCCTCGGGATTACTCCGCTTCCCTAGAGACCGCACTTTCCTTTTCCGGTAACGATGGAGGTGAAACAGTGGTGTCTCCTTGCAGTGTCTACACGCCCATGTTGTACCTCTAGCCACTTCCGGTTCAGTGTGCTCACCTGTCAGCAAGTCGTTTCATACAGAAGATTCAGTTATTGACAGACTCGAGAAAAATGAACAGAGATATCGAAAGCCTTCCCCAAATAGTGTAAGAAATCAAAATACTGTGACATTCTTTGTCCCTCAAAGGAGCTTACCCTGGAGCTGGGGAGAAAAGATCATAAAGACGTGAAAAGTTAAACGACAACAGCCTGACACTGAGAGAGAGGAAACATGGTGGCACGTGACTAATCGCCGTGCTGACGGTCCGTTTCTGCCCTGCCGGCCGCGTGCGCCGCGTGCACGCGCACAGAGCAGAGCTCAGGGGCACACAGACGTGCAAGACTGTCCCAGAGACTCACGGGGGCGCGGGGCTGGCTTGAAAGGCTTGGTGGAGGAACAGGAATTTGAGCTGCTGTTGGAAGTGGGGGGGGATTGGGATGGAGAAGGAAACAAGGGAAAGCATGGGGTGTGAGGGGCTAGCTCCAAGGGAGGGTGCATTACGGGAGGCGGGGAGGGAGGCTCTCAGGAGAAAGTAAAGCCAGGTTGTGAATGCTAGGCCAAGATGTATTCCCTCGTTCAGTTAACATTTTTGAGTGCCTTCTGTGTACCAAGTAATCAATAGGATTTAGCTATAGCCCCTGCTCTCAAAACCCGCCTCACGGGAAGACCTAGATCAGCAGATAACGTGCTACGTAATAGAACATAATGCAGAATGCTGTGCAGCAGAGCTAACGGGGGGAGGGGGGCCCTGAAGGAGTTTAACCAAGGACATGAATGACGTTCTGTGAAAGTTTATTTGTAGAACGAGTCGAAGGACTGACATCTTTGCCCTTGTCCATCAGCGTTCAACACGTGTTCATTTGATGGTAAAGGCCCAAGGTTAAAGGGGATTTGATTTTCCTCTCCCTTTTTTATACTCCAGCCAGAACCTGAGGAATTTAGAGCTGGAGAATGACAAGATTGTCCCCACAGCAGCGGCCCGTGTCCCTGACGCCGATGAGCTCATCGCGCCCGGAACACCTATCCAGTTCGATATCGTCCTTCCTGCCACAGAATTCCTGGACCAGAACAGAGGGAGCAGGTGCGGGCTAAGGGAGGCTGTCTCTGGGAGAAATGAAAGTAAACCTGGGGTCTCTTGTGTCGGCGCCCACCTGCCAAGACTGTTGCTGTTCTGACTTCTAGTTCAAGAGTTAGTGTCCCTTTAGCCAAAAAGGTCTTGACTGTTGGACTCTGGCCATTCCCCTAGGCGCATCAACCCTTTTGGTGAGACTGAGGATGAGACCTTTCCAGAAGCAGAAGGTGAGTGGCTGGTTTGGTGCGCTTACTCTTTCCCCTCACAGAATGACGAGAGATCATTGAAATGAGACGTGAAGTCACGGTCCAGAGAGCCAGGACTTGGGATTGTGAAGCAAAAATTATGACGCACAGGTTGGCTGTTCTCTGGGAACTCACTAGGGCATGTGCAGTTAAGGCAGGTCTTGGCTAAACACTGACGGGAAGGAGACTTTCTCCAAGCACTGCACGGTTGGCCTCGTCCACACCCTTTAGTAGCTCCTGCGCAGAAAGCTGCCGAGCCTAAGTCAGGTATCAGATTACTCCAGATCAGATGTAAGGAGGATGAAATGGCCACAACAAAATGCAGTCGGGGGGGGAGTCATAAATAGGCTATTTCATTTGAGCCAAAGACACACATCACAACTCACTCTTCAATTTGAAGAGGACAAGGGTAAATGGGATTTAATTTGGTGAAGTTCAGGTACTTGCTGCGTGGCGTGCATGCTTACAGTGGAGCTGACGTGACCTGGTGCCCCAGACAGCAGCACCTGCGCTCCCAGCCGAGGCCGTTTAGGAGCTAGAAGTGCTGGCGAGGCCTCGTGTACACCGCTTCATGACTGGAGCCGGAGATTAGCAGTAGAATAAATCGCCACTTCCGTAAATGTAAAAGTAGGACTTGAGAGTCAGTACTCCTTGCAGAATTAGGCAGAAGGGGGTGGGGGGGGAGAGAGGATGGAAGGAAGGAGGAAGGAAGCTAACAGGCTCTGCCTCAGACCTGCCCACTTGTCTCTGGCTGACCTTCTGTATAATCCACACCGGAAAGTCTGTAAAGTATAAAAACTATCTTCATGCGGGAGTAATTACTTACAATTTTACATCAGTTATATTTTCCTAATCTTTTGTTACTTACATTTAGGGGCAAAGACACTAATAGGGCAAGTGAGGAAAGAGTAGTCATCTTCGTTTAAAATGGTGGATAAGTATTTGTTCTTAAAGAGAAAACAAACCTTTAAAGCTTCGTGATTTTCCAGTTATGGTTGCCATTGGTCAGTTTTGTCAGGTTACAGGCCGTGCCATTAGCAGGAAGCCAGTCCTGGTTGTTCACTAGAATCAGATGAAGTCGTCTGGGGTGTGCATTAGCTCACGGGATGTCCTCGCAGCCCTTCAGTGACACGTGATGCGTGTGAACGTTATGAGTCCCAACATCAGGTCTTCTGTTCAGATAGGCTTTCTTCTTTAAAAGGACTTTATCAGTGGGCCAAAGTACTGAATTTTCCGTTGTCTAAGTGGAGAAGCTCCTATTGTCAAAGAGAAGATGTGTGTAGTGCCACCTACGTCAGTCACCTAGAGTTTTCGCGCTAGAAGGACGTTCATCTGGTACTGCTGTCTCATTGTGTAGATGCACAGAAAGAGGTGCTTTTCTGGTCTAGTGAAGTAGTTCCAATGAGGCAAAACATGGACAGAAGGAGACTCGGGGCTTTGGCATTGTGCGTTTGTTCAAGCACAGTGTTGAGCACTTGGGTGGAAAGCACCCTAGGAGAAGGTCTTCAGCCGGTTCTCCGACCCGCCCCGAGTGCTGGGCGGACCAGCAGCAGCAGGAAGCGAGTGTGATCCTGAGCAGCAAATGCTGTCTTGCAGATTCCCTTTTGCAACAGATGTTTATAGTTCGGTTTCTGGGATCGATGGCAGTTAAAACAGACAACACTACCAAAGTGATTTATGAAGCAATGAGACAAGTGTTGGCCGCTCGGGCTATTCACAACATCTTCCGCACGACGGAATCCCACCTGCTGGTCACCAGCCAGACTCTGAGGTATGTTGTTTCATTTCAGACTTTCTTACAGTTTATCAGATTGCCCATGAAAGGCACATTTACTCATCTAGAATGTTCATACTAGAATATTTGTTTGATCGGAGTAAGAGGAGATGCTCCTGTCGTTTCTGCCCTATTCCTTTTTACATTTTGATTTTATAAGACACGTTGGGTAGAAGGTGCCCCCCTCAGTAACTGATACCTTTAGAAATTTAGTGGTGAGTGAATCCTACTGCTCATAAAGATGCCATCACTCAGGAGTTGCTTTGTATATCTCAGAGCTTGAAAAAGAAAGGGTTTTCTCATTTCTGAATGTACTATTTATAAGATAGTGAAAACAGAACATGAACCTACCCGAGATGACGAGACCACCACTAGTAAAATCTGATTTAATATTTGTTGGGGTGAAACTAAAGACACCAAGTGATGTTACCGACACGACCTGGGGTTTCAGGCAGTAAGATGGATGGGAGAGACGGCAGAGGGTCCGCACCGGCTTCCGTGAGGGCCGTGCCGTCCAGGACCGCGCCCTCGGGCAGCACTTGAAACAGAACTGAAGTCTGAACTGAAATGTTTTAAATGTAAAAAACAACAAATCTCTAAGGTCTCATACTAACCCCCCAAAAAGAATGCAAACTATCTCACAAACTTTTATGTTAATTACATGTCTAGCTGGTAATATTTTAGATCTTATAGATTAAATAAAGTATGTTATTTCACCGGTTTCACTTTGATGTGGCTGCTAGAAAATTTTAAATTATGTATGAAGCTTACATTTTATTCCTCAGAGCTGACAGCACTGCTTTAGAGCCAGAATGTCCAGGTTTATTGCTGGCTTTGGCGTTTGTGAGTTGTATGACCTGGGCAAGTTTGAACTTCCGCGCATCGGTTTCTTCAGCTATAAGCTGAAAGTAACCATATCCATACCTCATAGTGTTGTCATGAGGAATAAATGAGTTAATACACAAAATATTTACGACCACAACTGACATTATAGAAAGTGCTCAGTAAATGTTAGCTTCAAAAAAATGGGACTTTGTTAAAAATCAGCATAGAGTTTCTTCCATTCATTAAAATCAGTCCTTTTCATTTATTATAAACCTTGTACTGAGACTAAGTTTCTTACAAATAAAACCTTGTATTTATTTAAAGCTTTTCTACAAGTATGTCCTGCACCTTTTATGGGCATTGGCTCACTGTTCTTAAGATCTCCACCAAAAAGATCAGAGTAAATGTAAAAGCATTGTGAAAAAAGATAGTACATCAAAGAACACTGTCAGAGCATTTGCAAATCATATCTTTAATAGAGGTATATGTTCAGAACATAAAGAACTTTTTTTTTTAAAGATTTTATTTATTAGAGAGTGCGCGAGAGAGGGAACACAAGCAGAGGGAGTGGGAGAGGGAGAGGGAGAAGCAGGCTTCCTGCTGAGCAGGGAGCCTGATGTGGGGCTTGATCCCAGGACCCCGGGATCATGACCTGAGCCAAAGGCAGATGCTTAACGACTGAGCCACCCAGGTGCCCCATAAAGAACTCTTATTAACAATCAACAAAAAGACCAAAAAACAAAAAATGGAGAAAGGACCTGAGTAGACATTTCTCCAGAGGAGATCTACAAATGGCCAACAAGCACATAAAAAGATGCTCAATGTCATTAGTTATTAGGGACCTGCAAATCAGGTCCACAGTGAAATACCACTTCATACTCACTAGGATGGCTGTAATTTTTTTAAAAAAGTAAAGTAACGGGTGTTAGTAAGGATGTGAAAAAATTGGGATCCGTTGGTAGGAATCATTAAAACAGTTCGGCCACTGTGGGAAATAGTCTGGCAATTCCTCCACAAGTTAAACCTAGAATTCCACTCCTGGTAGATACCCAAAAGAATTGAGAACAGGTGTTCAGATAAAAATGTATACACACGTTCATAATTCACAATAGCCAAAAAGTGGAAACAGTCCAGATGTCTGTCAACAAACTGATACACAAAATGTGGTATTTTACATATAGTGAGTGGAATATGATTCAGCCTTGAAGAGGAATGAAGTCCTGACACGTAGCACAACCTCATTGAACCCTGAAAACATTCTGCTAAGTGAAAGAAGCCAGACACGAGTGTCAGCCGTTTTGTATGAGCATTTACATGAAAGGTCCAGGGTAGGCAAATCCACAAAGAGAGAGCGAGCAGGTTAGTGGTTGCCGAAGCTCAGAAAAGGACTGGAGAGGGACTGCTTAATGGGTGTGGAGCTTCCTTGTGAGGCGATGAAGATGGTTTAGGAACGGGAGAGCGGTAATGGTTGTATGATGTGGTGCGTGTACGAAATGTCGACAGTGCTCAGTTTTATGTCAGGTATATTTTACCACGGTGTACACACACATATTCCTGAACTGGAATTCACGTTTTGAGACAATTTAGAAGTCCCACAGAAAATCAGGTATTAAGAGGCAAATCCATGTTACCTGATTTAGGTAGCAATCTCTTAAGTTACTCAAAATATGTTTTAAGTTTCTATTTATGAAAAAATTTTACAAAATACTTAAGGGAACTTAACCCAACTTGAGGGAAATTATGATGTTTTTTTTTAATTTTTTTATTTTCAATTAGCCAGCATATAGTACATCATTAGTTTTTGATGTAGTGTTCAATGATTCATTTGTTGCATGTAACACCCAGTGCTCATCACCGCACGTGCCCTCCTTAATGCCCATCACCCAGTCACCCCATCCCCCACCCCCTCCCTTCTGTGACCCTCAGTTTGTTTCCCGGAGTCCAGAGTCTCTCATGGTTTGTCTCCCTCTCTGATTTCTGCCCCTTTGGATTTCCCTCCCTTCCCCTGTGGTCTTCTGCACTATTCCTTATGTTCCACATGTGAGTGAAACCATGTAATTGTCTTTCTCTGACTGACTTATTTCACTTAGCATAAATCCCCTCCAGTTCCATCTACGTCGATGCAAATGGTGGGTATTCATCCCTTCTGATGGCTAATACATTGTATATATGAACACCTTCTTTATATGATGTATATTTTTTAAATCTTTAAATTCATATTAATAGGGACATAAAAAGTAACATTTATTTAGCTTTATAGATTACTAAAAATTCCATATACATTTTCTCCTTGTCTTTACCACCTCTTTCAAGTGGGGGTTCTTACCCCCATTTTACAGATGAAGCAGCTGAGAGAAGTCAGGGTGACCTGCACAAGATCACAGTTGAACAGCCAGGTTACAGCCCTCTGATTATAAACCCCATGTTTTCATAAGTAGAACTGTATGTATTTCAGACTGTAACCAATGGGGGAGATAACCGCTTTACTGAGCTATAACTTACCTACCATACAATTCACCCAAAGTGTTTTTTTAGTATATTTAGAATTGTGCAGCCATCACCACATCGAACATCATCATAATCCCCAAAGAAAACCCATACCCATTAGCACTCATTCCTTTTACCTTGAAACCCCCAGCCTTAGGCAGCCATTAGCCACTAATCTTCTATGTCTATAGATTTGCCTGTTTGGAACATTTCATATAAATGGAATAACCTTTTTTTTTTTAACACACAGAATACATTTTTTTGCTTTTACGCACAGAATTTATAGCATATCATCAATAAATACGTTTAGAAAATAGAAATTTCTATGTATATATGATAGCAATAGATTCTGTAATGCAGTGTTTTTTTCCCAAATACATCAACCTGATTATTAGAGGCTCCAAGTGCCATTCAAGATACATTCTAGAACACCTCCATAAATAGTACTCCCCCACACCCAAACTGACAGAATAGTTTTGTTAAAATCTGTTCACTATTCTCTCACCCCACCCCATATTTTAAAAAAAGGGAGGGGGATGTATATGAAACACTTCAAATGAAAACCTGTAGTCAGTAAATGTTGAGAAGCAGGCTGTACAGACTATGATCCATGCATATTCTATGTCAGCACCGTGGGGAATTATAATGCTGCCTTTCTGGATAAGCACTGAAATGTGGAATTCTTGGGACGCCTGGGTGGCTCAGTCATTACACATCTGCCTTCAGCTCAGGTCACGATCCCAGGGTGCTGGGATCGAGCCCTGCATCAGGCTCCCTGCTCCGCGGGAGTCTGCTTCTCCCTCTCCCACTCCCGGTGCTTGTGCTCGTGCTCTCTCTGATAATTAAACTTTTTAAAAATGTGAAGTCCTTCCATGAAGATACCCACTGAGCTTGAACTACACAGGTTCGACAGAGGCAGGAACCGTGGCACGCCCCCCCCTTTGGATAGTCCCACGGAGTCGTCACCTCGCCCTCACAGCCACACCTTCTGTTTTGTGTGATTTCATTCTGAACTTCTAGAGATGCTCCTAAGAATATAAGTTTATCCAGTATGTGTGATATAATGAATCTCTTAAAATTTCAGGTTGATAGATCCTCAGACTCAAGTAACAAGGGCAAATGTAAGTACCTACATGCACACTGACTTTAGTAGTTATTCCTTAATTCAAAGTAGACACTTTACCAATTTTGCCAAATTTAATGCCTGTCTTCTAATAGTGCAATTTTCCCATGATGTTTTCCACGGAGAATGACTTGTCTGATTTTGAATAACAGTTGTGTGATACTCAGTCTGTTCCTGTTATTTCCAGTTTGAACTCACCAGCATCACCCAGTTTGCTGCTCATCAGGAGAACAAGAGACTGGTTGGCTTCGTGGTCCGCACATCGGAATCCACGGGTGGAGAGGCTCTGAGCACATACGTTTTTGAAAGCAACTCAGAAGGCGAAAAGGTCTTACTTTTTCATCTTAACATTCCATAACCTCTGTCCAAACAGATACTTAAAGGGGTTTTTGCACCATCCCCTGGATATTTAGTTGACTATTCTTTGTTTCCCCATTGAGGAGTTTAGAGAATACCTCTAGGAAGGCCCCACTGAAAGAAAACCAACTGGAATAGTTTCTCTGTGGAAAATGCATGTCATCCTAAACAGAGTGATGAATAATGTTAATGGTGGGATACAGTTGTTTAGAAGAGGTATCAGGAAATGTTAAAAAAAAAAAAAAAAAGCAATTGCCTTCAAGTTTGTTCTTTTTTAAAAAAGTAAAGCAAAAGTTACAATGGAGAAAGTCTAGTCTCAGAGCAAACCAAGGAAGCAGACATCAGGAAACTCTTCTCATTTAGTATGAAAAATTTTGTGACTGTATTTGCTACCTAGTATTAATCAATTAACTCTTCTTTCAGCAAACACCTGTTTGCCACTGTGTGCATGAACATGTGGTAGCTGAGTGTGATTTAGAGAGAAAGGCATAAAGTATTCCGTTAAGAATTTTAAGGACTGGAATAACTTCAGTTGCTACTGAACCTGGACACTTTTTGTTATGCACAAATTGGCAACAGGAGACCAAGACAGGTGGGCGCTAATGTTCAGAGCCCCATGTGATGAATCTCCTACAGCCAGGTCCCCTGTCCCCACACTGACGTGGGCAGTGACCTCCCTGTACTTCCATAGTCACATTTTCCCCCCTAAAGTTTTTTATCCTTTTCTACCTTTGCCAAACACTACTTTCCTTGTCTTGCAGATATGTTATGCTATTAATTTGGGGAAAGAAATCATTGAAGTTCAGAAGGTAAGGTGCATTTTAGTGCTGGTTTTAACAACTCCAAATCTCTGTATATACTAAGATTTCTCTCAAAAAGAGCAAAGATGTTCATTCGGCAGTGTGGCCAAATTTGAGATTTCCTTTTAAGCATTCTAACCACCAGACTTGCTAGGGCCATGATCACTGCTAACACCTGTGGAGTTCTTCATAAATTTCACTGCTACAGTCCTGCTTTATATTATCAATTTTTTGCTTGCTGTTGTCTAGATATTCTTTCTTTCAAATTCAGGTGGTAGAAACTTTAAGTACCTACTATGTGCTCAAAGGCCTTACTGTTCAGAGCAGTCACAGACAGACCTCACCTGGAAACGTACTAGGCGTGAAGATTCCCATTCCTCCCAGTCTGTCAGCCACTATACAGTCTTTCATTCACCCAACAAATTTTTGAGAGCCAAGTTTGGACAAAAAAAACCTTGGAATTATAGCAGTGAGCAAGAGCGATCTGGTTCCTGCCCCAGGAGGCTTCTAGTTCAGCACTGTCCAGTAGAACTTCGATAATGGGAATGACCTATATCTGCACTGTTTAATATGCAGATTGAATGTAGCTAATGTGACTGAGGAACAGGATTTTTAAATTTTAATTTAAGCGGTAACATACAGCTAGTGAGTACCATATGAGCAGTTCCAGTCTGTTGGGGGAAGGTAGGAAGGCCAAAGACCAAGACCAAAATACATGAAAGAGTAGCAAGCAGTGCAAGTGAGTATTTTATGGTTATAGATCAGGGATTGACAAACTTTCTGTAAAGGGAAAGACAGTAAACCCTTTTAAGCTTACATCTGTTGCAACTAAACTCAGTGACTGTAAAACAAAAGCAGCCATATACAGTATATAAATGAATGGCTGTGTTCCAATAAAACATAAAAACAAGCAGTGAGCCCAGATGACCGAGAGAGAAAGGAGTTAAAGACCTAGAAGACAAAGGTATTGTAAAGGAAGTTCCTCTCTGGACTCCTTCTGGGAAGACAGTTATGATTTGTGTGAACAGTATTTTGGCTGAGACCAAAACCTTGCTCTAGATTCTAGCAGTAATGCAATTGAGTTTTTTCGGAGAAGCAAGGAGATTCACCTGAAGGCACATACAGATAACAGAAGGACTAAGACTAGATTACAGAACATCATGAATGCCAAGCCCAAAGGAGTTCTTAAGTGCATTTTAAGCGTTTTCTTTTCTCCTTCTTAAACTCCCCTAACTTCAGGATCCAGAAGCATTGGCTCAGTTAATGCTGTCCATACCACTAACCAATGATGGAAAATATGTACTGTTAAACGATCAACCAGATGACAATGATGGAAGTCCAAGTGAAAATAGAGGCGCAGAATCTGAAGCATAACTCTCTTGGGCCTTTGGGGGAAGAGTACCCAGGAAGGAGAGCTACCTCCTTAAGGGTTTTCAACTTCTCTGATATACAGGCCCATGACCTGGTTTCAGAATGCTGACAATCGCTTGTGGAATGTCCTCTGGATGCCTTGATACTGAGAGATGGGAGGGAAACAGTAAGAAATGGTTGACAACATTCCTACCCATCTACAAATGTTATTTTAGGTGCTTTGTGGTAAGTCTTTTTCTTAGATTTTATTGTTCAGCACTCAGAATGAAAGTTAAAGAAAAAATGCATTGTTCACTTTATTCAAATGTCATCTCTTCAGTTTCCAATACCCTTTTTTAAAAATGGTAAAAACCTAGATTTATAATTTGATAAACACTAAATATTTCCTATTAATATATTTTTGTATTTTACTTAATGAGCTTTAAGTGCCTGTCACTCTGAAAATTGTGTATTTATAATCAAGCTTGTTTTACAATTGGACTTAATAGCATTAATTTGTGCAGTTAAGTGACAGCCCTGCTTTGAGGCCTGAGCACTAGCAAAAATGCAGTTTTGATAATTCTTCCAGACATGTAATAAAAAGACTAGCAGATGAGTACCACAAAAGATGTTCAGTTTTACATTGGAACCTTAATGAACCAGCATTCAGAACTTTATGGTCCTTTAGATATTTGTAGTGGTGGATCACCATGGACAGAGTGAAGCTCTACCAGTTCCTGATTCTTGAGCCAGACCCTCCTTAAGGAAGGGACCAATTAATTTTAAAACTCACTTGAAGCACGGCTGGTTGTGGGGCTTGGTACAAAGTTCCTATTTCCACCCCTACCTATTAAAATAAGTATAATGATCTTGAATTGGCACAGTGTGTTTAATTATAACCAAGTTCAACAGAATATCATTGTCTTTGTAATAAATTAACCTAGCAATAAATGCTAGCAAATAAAAACTATCATTCTGTTTCTTTCTTTTGCTTTTTATGGTTATTTTCTAGAACATCCTTGGAAGAAAACTAAAGTCAGTTCTATAGCTTCAATGTTAATTTCCAAAAAATTAGGGCCTAATGAAATCACAGCAGAGAGGGATGTACCATCAAATCCTTCTATTCAACATAGATGGAATAATGTGATCTCAGTGCCAAGTTGTTAAAAAGTATTGCTTTTAAAATGGATTAATAGAACAATTTCTGTAATCCAGAACTGTTACAGGGTCATCAGGAATCCACTTCCATGGCGTGTGTACCATTAGAGACAAAGTGAACTGATCTAAGCCAGCAGGAGATATACCATGAAATTATTAGTTTGGTGTTAACGAATGCCTTACGAAAAGTTATATATCTAACCACATTAAATCCGTAAGTTCTCTAATAGGTGGCAAGAGCCACAATCCCCTGAATTTTTTTCTTGCTTAGCACTGTTCAGGGTGGGAGAGAAGAATCTAGTCGTGAACAATATTGTTAGAAACTAATAAAACTTTTAAAAAATTTGTGGCTTAGTTAAGCCACAAAGCTTGCAAATCATAAGAAAAAAAAAAAAAGACAAATCCAGTACATTAAAACGAACATCAAAAAACCATACAGAGGGAAAAAAAAAACACCATAGAGAATGAAAACACAAAATTAACTGAGCATATTAACCAAGCACAGACGACCAACAAAAAATCAGTACCCAGAATATATAAAATACATTAGAAACAAAACAGAAGAAATCATAAAGGCATTTCAGAGAATAAAAAAAAAAAGCGTTCTGAAATGGAAATATGTTCAATTTCCTGTAATAATCAAGGAAATGCAAAGTAAAACCACTGCAGTATTACATATTCACCAGACGGAAGAAATGTGGCTGTTGGTGGAGATGCAGTGATGGGGAGCCTCCACCACTGCTGGGGTGGGAGAAGCCTGGCATTGTATCCATTGCTCTTGTACTTGGCCCTGCTACATAGCAGATTCACTTGAGGGTACAACCGTGGAGAAACTCTTAACACATTATACCCAGAGACAGGTACAGTAACAGTTACAGTAGCCCTGTTCCTAGTACCCCAAATGTGGAAATGACCCACATGTCATTAACTGAATACCAGAGAAGTAAAACGAAATGAACTATAGCTATAATGCATCAACATGGATGGATTTCAGAAACAATACTGAAAGTCTTAGAAGCTACATAGTAAGAATCCATTTATGTTAACTAAAAAACAAACCACCACCATGTTATTTAGAAAAATACAGATAGGTTGTGACACTAGAGAATAAGCAAGGAATAGTTACCACCAAAATTCTGCATTGTGGTTTCCTCTGGATGGAAAAGGGAGCCGAGATCTGAGGAGGAACAATGGGAGCATCTGAGGCGGGAGCAACAGGTTTTGAACCTACATGGTGGCGACTGAAGTATTCTGTTTTTATTCTCCAAACAGTGTTTTTATGTGTGTGTGTGTGTGTGTGTGTGTGTGTATATATATATATATATATATATATATATATATATATACACTCTTTTGCATATGTTATATATTTTAAAATAATTTTAAAATTTAGAAACAGTAGATAACTTGCCCTTTCTTCAAATTTACCAAATGAAAGCACTATAAAAATGAGCAAGTGTCATATAAATGAAAGGTAGGGTGGAAAAATGGGACCTTTTCTTAGCCAGCTATTTGCACCAATTTTCATTTCCCAGCATTGCCTCTGGTTGGTTAGCCACCTGTCAGACTACCTTTTTTAAGAAGTGCAAGACTTCCCTTCCATTGGCTACACTTAGCTGGCCATTTAAAAAGGAATAGTTTTTATGAGACCCACTCAGAGTCACATACTGTTTATCTTCAAACTTTTCCATCTAAAAGAGTAAAAGTAGAAATAGTAAAGCTAACAGCTAGATGCCAAGTGCATTTCTGCCTATGAATAATCGTAATAGCTAGCTAGTATTTATAGCAGTTACTGTTTCCTAACCGATAAAGTGCTTTACACAAATTAACTCAATCCTCAATCTATGAGTTCTATACTATTAGGTCATTTTATGCCTGAGAAAAGGAAGCACAGAGAGGCTAAGAACCTGCTGGTAGGCACCAAATCAGGACTCGAATCAGTCTGGCTTCAAAGTCTATGCTTCTAACTGCTCTGTGACAAACCAGAGACCGCAATTAGCAAATGCTTTTCTCAAGTACGTAAACCTTTTAAGATTATTCTGATACTCAGTAATTATATCAACTTAAAGTTAGCATCTCTAATGCCTTGTTAACCTTTTGTGCCAATTCTGAAATGATTAAATACTATAAGGTCAATATAGATAGGTGTTTCTAGATACAAAAATGTTAACTTCCCCCCTCACTTTAATGATGAGGCATTACTAAAGAATGTTTCATTACACAAAGACCTTACATATACTAAATAATGTATAGCCTTTAAAGATGATCCCAGAATTATGATGACATATCTACACTGATCAGAAGATAAATTTCAACTCCTTTGCTGAGTGTGACTCCACTAATGGGAACAACTGGACTGTCAGGTAAACCGGGTTTTATAGTAAAGCGAGGCAAACAGAGTATCCATGTGTTTGCCCAAATTGACTTCGTATACACTATACATAAGAACTTTTTTGTATAAATTAAGCACTAACTTTGCCATCACCATCTCTGAGTTCACTGCATGATGTTCATTTAATCTCTAAAGATGTCCACTTATTCCGGATCCTTTTTTTTTTTTTTTTTAATCTGAAAGCTCTAATAACCTGTTAAAAGTCTTCTTAACATCTAAAAACTTGAAATTGTAGGGTTAAAGTTTCTTAAAAGGAATACCATCAGTATGAAACTTCGAATTTTAGCTGGGAAAAAAATAATTAAAATTAGTTAAAATCTATTTTTTTACATTTAGCCATCAAAAAGTAACAGGATGATGTATGTGATGGTATTATCCCACCTTTCCCCCAATCTTACAAATTTACTACCTCAGAAGAGCAAAGGAGCAGCGGTCAGACTTTACCAAGAACAATTTCTCCAGGGTAGTACAGCTGATCTTGAACAACACGGAGGTGAGGGGCACCAAGCCCTCATGCAATCAAGTACCTGTATGTAACTTTTGACTCCCCAAAAACTTAACTAAGAGCCTACTGTTGACTGGAAGCCTTACAATGATCAAATTATATATGTTATTTGTATTATACACAATGTTCTCACAATAAAGCTAGAGAAAAATGCTATTAAAATCACAAGGAAGAGCATATACATTTATCATACTATACTGTATTTATTTTTGAAAATTGCATGTACGTGGACCCACACAGTTTAAACCCATACTGTTCAAGGGTCAACTCTATTTAAAAGGCTCTCATTTATTATTACCATTTCAGTTCAACTCATGTTTGTAAATGGCACTAGTTTTTCTCACATTAAACACTGTAAACCAAGGATCCCTTCCCAAGATTAGGATTTAAAATAAAACATTCATGTGGGTTTTTTTTATTTGAAAATAGCAAGCAATGGAAAGATCAAGAATGTACAAAGTAAAGTACGAGTTCTTCACCTGGGATATATAGAGAGGAACCAATACCAATTTTATACTTGAAATTTCTGCCTATGTGCATGCAAAGATTTCTTTTAAAGATAGATTCCCTATATTTTATTAAAGGGAACTCCAAAAAGGTTAATATTAAGAAGTACTGGTTTAAGACATTCAATTTTGAACATAAACATCCAGGGGAAGTAAACTTTTGAAATTATATTTATTAATGTTTTATATATTTTCTTAGAATTGGGGGAGCCCCACTCAAGTGAAGTAATAAACTTGCCATCCTTTACAAAACTTAATGAGAACTGACAAAGTTATGGTTAGTTCTTAATTCCTGAGAATTTGAACATTATTGAATTTTTTTGTGAATTTACAACAAATGCTCACACTAATTTTAAATTACAGTATGTCTGAAAACAATATTTAACAATAATATGTTAGCAAAGAAAACCATCATCTAAATGTGTGTATTAACTGGTGTGAAACACTCAAGCCCTACTGCTCTGCACTTTAATAGCATTTAAGTATGCTTAATCTTTTCAGAGATTTTATTTCAAATATGTGTAACTTATCCAGACTGCAGTAACATTATTTTGAACTAATGGCAAAATAATAATCTATCACTCTCTTCTCAATGTACATATCCATGGAGTCAGCATATGAACTCTACATAGTATTCATAAAATCAGTAATAACTGATATGTGGGGATAATGAACAGAGACACTGGATTCTCTTCCAATGATAATTTCTATCCATATTAAAGGAGACTGTTTTAGGGAAGTCAGAGAAAAAAACAGAACAATATTGTTGCTATGAAATGGTGACGAATTTGATGCAATCAAAGCGAGATCATTAATATAACATTTATAATAATGAAAATATAAATTACTAATTATGCAGCATGCTTTAGGGCCATTTCTACAGTTAGTATGAATTACAAATATTAAATGCCTTTAATCCATCCATTGTACAGAATTCTGTAAGTCATGTTTACATAATAAAAACCATTTTCTACCTATTCTGTTTCTTCTGACTGAACAGTGAAAGTGTTTATCTTGGGCTGGGAAAGTTACCCTGCCAGTAACCAATCAATATAGATAGGGCATTGTACACCTATTCCAAAAGCTGGAAATCAAACAACGTTAGAATTCCTTGCAGGATATACCCAAAGAAATGCTTAATAGGCAAGTGCAATGGAAAAATCAAGTATTTTCCAAATGATGTTAGTATTACGTGTACAGTTTTAAACTTTGTTTTCTTTGTAAAAGTATCACTGTATCATATTAAAAGATTATATATAGGTCATGATTAACCATTTAATTATTAACTGACATAATCTTTACAAAAATAAAGCTAGTAGCCTGCCAGGAACTAAATTTATTCAAAATCTTACTGTACTTTTTAAATCAGTAAATGATTTAAGTTATTAGAACTTTATTGTCACAGTGGTAATTTTTAAAA